CCGCCACGTTCTGGATCCATGCGAGGGTGACGGCAGAGTCAGTCCAGTAGTGGACTGTGTGCAGCGCAAATCCACTATAATGGAGAGCGCCTGCATCATCTGGGCTGCCATGGCGGCTGCCACCAGCTTGAGGCGGTTAATTCAAAATGCCGGGAGAGGGATGCCGGGTTCTGGATGGCAAGCTTTAGGGATTACTTTGGATTTGCCCCAAAGTAGCTGCGTTTGTGGCTGGTCCCCCCTGGACGTGAAGTAGATTGCTACTCCCAAGGCGATGCTGCTTGCATCGGAAAAGACATAGATGTTGCCAGGCTCCTTGACGTGTTTTGCAACTTTTTGAGGCACTTTGATAGATTTGGCCTGGAGCGCTTGGCAGATAATGTCATGCCAGACCTTTGTCTCCTTTTTTGAGAGGAGGAGGTCCCATGGCACCTTGGGATGCTGTTCATCAAAGCGCTGCCAAAGGGCTTTGATGGTGGTAATGAAGGGGGTAATCAACCCAGGAAGGTCAAAAAGTTGCCCCTCTACCCCAACAATTTGCCGCTTCTGCAGGCGCGGGCATTTGAGGAGCGTGGCAAGCAATTCTGTGCACACGCTGAGCGTGTCTGCCTGCGGCGCGTAGACAGCCCCCAGGACCTTGTAGGGTTTTGGGTCAACTGGGGTGCTGCTGGTCGGATAAGACCATTTTACTTTTGTGAGGTCAAAGCTGCCAACTTTAAGGGCAGCAGTTGCGTGTTGCAGCTTGACTTCAGCGGCGCAGGGATTGTCACCTGTGATGAGGAGGTCATTGACGTACGTTGTAGCGTCAAGCTCCTCCTGTTCTGTGGCGGACATAATGCTGCAAGTTACTGCTTTGCGGTATAAAAATTGGACTGCTGCATTCAACATGAACGGCGCGCAGTTGATGCCCCACGGGAGGCGTAGGAACCTGAAAAACTTGTGCATGATGATGCCATTGGGTTGCAGTTGGGGCCATCGAATTATGAAGACCCATTGATCTTCGGGGGCGAGCTCCACCTGGACAAACGCTTTGCGTATATCGCCAACCGCAAAGTCCTCGGTGAACCGCCACCCCAAAAGAATCTCAGTGATGCGGGGCAAGATGTTGGCCCCTTGGCTAAAGAATTGATTGCATGACAGGTTGCCCGGGTCTGCCGAGTTACCAGCCATGACAACCTGCAGGGGTGTTGATGAGCTGGATGGCCGCGCGACCCCATGATGAGGCAATTCTGTGTTGGCAATGCCTCGTTGGTTCATTTCCTTGATGGTCGTGGGCATAATGATGCCATCATCGATCCAATTGGTGAAAAATTCCTCGTAGGCCTTGGCCATCGGGCCACCAGCCCGGAGGAGTTTAATACAAGATTGACTGCGCTGCGCCCTGGTGCGCAGGTTTGGTTTACATTGGTCCGGGTAGAGGGATGTTTTAAGAAGGGGCGCCACAACGCGCCCCCCTGGACTGACGACGAGTTGGCAGAGGTATGCCTGGAATTGTTTGTCTCTCGAGCACTGCTCTTCCCTCGGATCGCCCAAAATATTGATGCAATCCTGGTACTCATATTGCAGTATAAGGCTGTTGAGCTCGCCGTCAGCGACCAGGTTTGTTGCTTCTAGCGCCATGCATACGTGGGGTGCAAGGATTGGTCCTTGCGCTCGCTGGGTGTCCCACATTCCCCTCGCTACAATACCAAGGTGCGTAGGCACCCCAAGAAACCTTGAGTCCAAATGGGAGGCGTAATGTCTTGGTACAAGGGTACCAGGTCATTGCCCCCCAGGACAATGTCAAAGGCCAGAACTGTTTCTGTGAGGATTTGCCGATCCGCCAGGTTGAATTTCTCTAACCAGGGGATGGCGCACGGGTTAGAACCTTTCCATGGCTCAACGTGAGGTACAACGAGTGCCACTGTATGAAATGTGGGGGAGGTTGGTACTACCCCCCTGTAGGTGAGGCGAACAGCCTCCGTTGCTGTCACAGGATTGGCCCGTTCTACGCTGCCAATGATGTATGGTGGACATGGTTCTGTGACCAAGTTGAATCTTTGGACAAGGGCCCATGAGATTAGTGTGAGCTGGGCCCCCGAGTCGAGGAGAGCATAAGCAGTATGCCCTTCAGGCTCCAAGCGGAGCGCGGCTGTTTTGAAGAAGGCACACGTGGGCCCTGGCCGCGGAGCTGAGACGACCAGGACAATGCGGCGTTCAGCTGCAGGTGGTTGTCAGCCGGCCAGTGCGGCCTGTTGCTGTTGCACAATCGAGGCTGCCGTGGCGACTGCAGGTTCGGCTGGCGCTGCCGGTGCGACAGGAGCCACCTGTTGAACAGCAGGGGCGGCTACGGCCGCAGGCCCTCCTTGCTGTGTGGGCTGCTGATTCCGCTGACGGCTGCGGTTGCACATTGTTGAGTGATGCGGCTGCTGGCAGTGCCGACATCTGTTGGGCGACGGACAATTGTTGCCGTAGTGGTCCCGTGAGAGACAATTACTGCAGAGCCGACACTGGCAAATGGCATTCAGCTTGTCTCGAATGGAGAGGAGACACCGGGTCGCCAAGTGGTTTGCGGCGCAGAAGGGACACGCAAAGCGGTCCTGCTGGTCCCAGCAATTGTCCCAGGAGTTGTTGTCCCGGTTGCAATGGGAGTTATTATTATTGCGGCATGGTTGTCTGGTTATTGTTCCTCCGGTTTGGTGAGCAACTGCGTGGTCGGTCTGAGGAATGTCTGCGCCGCCGCCACTTGCGTGGGGGGCTGCGGGAATGCAACTGTCCTCGCTGAAACAATTGTCGCTGATTGTTGTTATTCTGGTTCTGTTGTTGCCGTTGATTCCCGTTAGAAGTTGACAGAGCCGCGTTTGCCAGATTGACATTGGCCGCAACTGCTGGTGCGGCGGCTGCTGCGGCAGGTGGGGCTGCGGCTGGGGCTGTGGCAGGTGCTGCAGAAGCAGCAGCACCGCCAGCCAAGGCCGCTGCACCCTGAAATGCGAGAACTGGTGGCGCCTCCGCCATGCGGAGTTTGTGTGCAAAGTACGGTTGGATGAATCGGTATTGCCGATGAGGGCCATTTGCCCAGACAGGGTCCAGCTCAGGCATCTGGGTGTGGTGATCGGTATAGGCCTGGAGGACTTCCAGGTAATTGCCCTGCTCTAGATGCGCATGCAGGACAGGGCCCACGCGGAGGTGCACAAAATTCATGTTGGTCTGAATTGTGCTCAATTTCTCGGTTATTTGGACAACTCTGTTAAAGTAGTCTTAAAATTCTGGCAGGGTGTATGGTGCCGGAAGGCAATCGAATTTGTGGTAGAGCTTAAGGCGTACCTCGTCCGTTTGCCCATACTTGGAGAAGAGCACCTGGAGAACGCTAAGGTAGTCCATGTTAACGTCTTGGTACGCAAATGCGCCGACGTTTTCTTTAGCTTCACGATCAAGGTGAAGTAACAGTACTCGATTTCGTTCAATGTCTGTGAGTTGCACGGCCAGAATGATATGGACTGGCAGAAAATTGCGCCAAAGGCGCTCAAACGGATAATTTGAGTCTGCTTGGCCAGTGAACTTATTAAATGAGGCGTCGCTGGCCTGTTTCTTGTATGACTTTACGAGGTCATGGTGGGATAGGTTGGTGGGTTGCCCCGTCCCGTACGTTGCGAGAGCATGGTGATATGCCTCGTAGGGTCTGCCCTGCGGTTGCAGGATTGAGGACGGCCCAGAATCCAAGTTGCCGTAGCTGGCCGGAGCTGGTGGGTGTAATAATGCAGGTGCCATGGGGCGCAGAGGGACAAGTTGCCCCATCGCTGGATGTGATGATGCCGATCCCATGCCACACAACGTGCTAGGCATGTGCGACGGTAAGACGGGAACCGGCGCCCCCCTGGGGGAGGGCTGAGGCGCGGCGTGCGCCACCAATGGCATTGGAGGCACGGGTGCCTGAGGTGCCGCGGGTAAAGCAACCCCTAAGACGCGCGGCTGCGTCGGACGGAGGTGAGGCCACCCCTGGTCATGACATCCATGGATTGCACCAGAAGGGTGTTCACCTCAGTTGCCAATTGCGTGAGGGCAGCGATTTCGGGCTGCAAGAACGCAGCAGGTGATAAATCTATGAGATGCGCTGCAGCATCAAAAAATCGTGGTACAACGCTCTCGAAGCGTTGTTGCGGATTGCCGAGTTCGGGAGTCTGCAAAATATGGTCAACCGCGCCTACTGCGTTGGCAAGGCGGAGGACCTGCTTAATAATTGAGGAGCGGCGTGCTGTTGACGCTGAGGAATGACCACTAGAGGCTGCGATTGAGGCGGCCCCACGAGACGCCGGACGCTGAGATCTACGTTTGACGCCTGAAAGAGGCGCCTGTTGCGTTCAATGCGAGGAGCAAGACCTTGCGCTATTGCCGCTGCCATCGCTCGAGGGGCTCAGGGACAGGCAATGCCATGGCCCCGCTGGTAGAGGTCCCCGCCTTCACGGAGGCTGGCGTGTACCGCGGGTATGGCTCGAGATAGGAGGAGTGCCTGGGACTGCGCCTTCCTCACCGTTCATCGTGCCGGAGAAAAATTTCACACAAAAAGGACAGGTGAGTACTTACAGGCTTTTTCCAGAGGGTGAGGTGGGCTGGGTGTAAACGTAAGGGCAGCAAGGCTGCAAGTTCACACTTGTAAATTCACACTTCAGAAAGGAAGGGAACTGTGCCCAAACTTTGCAAAAAAATGCCGGGGTTCGACCTTGTAGAGGTAAACCCACTGGCCACCACTTTTGTCAGGCCGATTAATGACAAAGAATTAGATAAAGGAATGGACACAGTCAGTCAGCCTTTAGCGGCCGGATCCTCTTTAGGAGAGTCCCTTAGAAAGCAGCAATTTAATCCAGGCACAGAAATCCGCAGAAGGATAAGAAGTACACAGAGGTACACAACAGACAATCGCGCTAGGACGTAATTATGCTCAACCGCCGTAAGGCACACACAAGCTCTGAATGAATTGTTCCCAAAGTCTTCGGGGCTTCCGTGTCGGCTTCCGCTGCCGGAGATTTCTATCTCTTGCTACTGACCCGGTTTACCACAATGCGGCAAACTGGGTGCCTATCTGCTTCCGGGTCTCTGTGCTGTTGTTGCTGCACGGTGTGCCCGAGCAAGGATGCTACGCTTGGGTCACGCCGCGTGGACGCGACCCCACAAGTACTGTAGAAAGACATAATTAAGGTTGGACGTCTGATGGTGACGCGATTGCACCAGCCAAAAAAATGAAGGGATTAAATTTGGACTTTGAAAATAAATGTATGGGCTCGAATCATTGGATGTTCGATTGATCGGAATTCGGAAAATCGGAGGGCCGATGAAGGATTCGATTGAGGTACCAAACTTATAAACGAATCACGCACTATATAATCAGGGAACTAATGCTTTTGGGCAGAAAATTTACCTTCACTGAATGCCAGCAACAAATAATAATAGCGATGAGAACCACGAAGTAAAAAACAACTTGATTGCTTTTTTTAACACTTCTGTAGACATGTCAATTGATCACAAAAAGGCCTGCTGGAAACTGTGGATTGAGAATACACGAAGAGCCAAGGCTCAGAACTAATTAAAGAAAAGCACTGGAAACATTCGGAAGAGCCCCTCTAAATTAAGAAAAATCTGATACTTCAGTAGGGTATACAGTATAACACATGCATTATAACATCACTCGCAAAGATTCTGCGCATCGACATACAGTATTACCAAATCACGAAGAGATGAAGTCCTTGCGTTCTGTCCAATGTGCCAAATGGCGAACACACAGCATAAAGCAGCAGATGAGCGTTCGATATGACACTATGCTACAGTATATACACATGAATTTACTGTACTATGCATTGCACTGCACAGCAGTACTAAGCTTGATTCGAAATGCTTCGGTGGAATGAGAAATCACAGGAAGCCAACTTCTTCCATCTCTGCTGAACACGTGGGCCCTTCCCCCGGGAGGAACCAGCGACTCGACTGCTGGAAAACCCGATTCCCAACAGCCACGGATGAGAAAAGGGGGGGGAAGTGAAGAATGCCGGTCGGTCACTGACTCGCAGACAGAGTGTGCAAGCAAGCGCCGTAGTGAGCTGAGAAGACCCACTATGCATCACTAAGGAAACGGGGACTCGGATATTTAAGTTGAATGAACAGATGTCACTGCTCAGCATATTCATCCTTCACACAGTGGAAGAGAACGAGGAACAGAGGGAAGAAATAAAGCATCTTAGAACACAACTGGCAAGCAAGTCAGCTGTGGGTAAGTGCATTGAAGATTGTTCATGATGGAAAGCACAATGGAAATATTCACTCTTCATTATATTTAGATAAAAACCTAGCTCTGTTGATTCTCAAGCACAATAAACCTCTGCACCAGTGAAACCATGATCAAATTTGGTACTTGCAATTATTTAGGTGAATGCCTTCAGCAATGTGGATCACCAGCAATCACACTTTCCAGCTGCAATCATTTGACACTCTGCAAAAGCTGTTGGGAAGAATATTCTCTGCGAAACAAGATCATCAAGGAAGACAACGTTTTTCTGAAGTGTCCCCTACTCACATGCCAGAACCTCTGCAAATTGTTGGAAGATTTCTGGTTTGTTTCTTGAAAGCAATATGATGAAGAGAATGTTGTGGACAAAAGTGTACAGAAAAATGAAAAAGATGACTTCAATATTTGATGACTTTTCATTCTTTTTTTTTTTTTTTTTACATCTAAAAGCCCTTTGGATATACTTAACATTCAAAGTCTGCATCAAAAACTTTACAGTGTACTCTGCATCAAAAACTGTACTGTACCACAAGGGTCAAAAACAGTTATTAATCTTGGAAAAATTCTACACATCATTCAGAAAGGAGTTAAAAGCACTCAACATGAAAAAAAGTAGGTTAGCACAAAATGTTCCAAAGAGAATTACATTCATTCTTGACCCCAGAAAATCATGGTATTTATACGATGAATTAACACAACTTTCAAATTGGAGAAAAAATTTTGATAAATTTGAAATGAAAACAGATCATGCAGTAATTTTTGCAAAGATTCATGGCACTGTTTCCAGGATGGACATTAGTTTCACAAGCCACACTTGGACACCATAGAAGAAATACAAACTTCTGAAATGTATAACAAAAACTTGTAAGTACATGGCAGCAATTCGAAGGTGGCCTGAGATTGATGAGGACCTCTTGGTGATGACGCAGGAATCTTCTTTCCAGATGGTCCATGGAAGTAAATTGCTTCCTTCTGCAAAGAATGAAGAATTTCACAAAATAATATTATAAAATTTTCATGTCAAAGAACACCGTCATCAATACCACATTTTTCAATCGTAAAGTCCTGTACAAGAACAAAACTAACGTCGTTGATCCCACACAGATACAGTCCCCTTTTCACAAAGGCTCACACTCTCTATATAGAAATTCAAGGGGGAGAAATCCGTGGTAGATAACCCCTACAACATAGCAAGAGAATCCAATATGAAAAAAATCTTCATACACAGAAAACTGCTGTAGACAAGATCCTTGTAGAGTAGAAAGTCCATCTGTACCAATTCTGTGGACATGACATTACGCCTAAAAGAGACTTGAGCGGAATCCAACCAGTAATCGTACACTCTATACTTCCTACAATTAGCTTGGCAACACGAACAAAATTATTCATACGGGGGAAAAAAATTACACAAACCTCCAAGTCAGATAACAGTGGCATTACCAATTTCTTGGTCTGGTGACATGTTTCCAATTCCCAAATGTGACTACTGTACTCGCCACTGCAGATGAAAAAAACCGACAAAATTGAAAAATATCATCAGACAGTGTGGGTATCAGCAGAACATGGCACGAGGACTACATACAAAGCAAGAATTAAAGTCATGAATCATAATGGAATCATCAATACGGCAAATAATACTTACTCATCCGTGACATACAAATTGTCACCATCATCCCCTTTTGTTCACCATGGCGATGAAACGATTTTCGAACCTGCGACAGAATTTGGACGTTAGTTACAAAATCCAAAAATTGTGGATTAAGAAAAACTTGCCGCAAAATTCGGTTGTAGACGTCCAGCTGCGTAACGACTGGTTTATGAACACAAAGATGCAAATCTTCTTGAATCGCTCGAAGCCTTGATTGAAACTTGTGCCATGTCAAATTATTCAGTTCTTTCTGCAGAGCAACAATCGTGTCATCATGAACAATTTTTTCAAGAATCTTCAGAAGACACGCGTTAGTTGATTACTTCAGTAGAATCGATTTTTCATCCCGACTCGAATCAAATTATGTAGCACTCACAGTACATAACATGTACTACATTACATTTTGGCAAAGATATTCAAGAATAATTCGGTGACAGAAGAAAAGTTCACGGACGAAAAGCAACAAGCAAACAACTTCAGTTTTACGTGAATAATTCTGCGTTTATTCTGAATTTTAAAAAGTAATTTATAACAATATTTGGGAAGTAAAGTATTGCACATCGAAGCCAGCGATTTTCACAGCTTAAAATGCAATCACAAGTGACTAAAATCACATGCATAATGTACTGATTCAACAAGGGTTTGGTTTGATGGACTCTTAAAATAATGGACATCCATGTACTAAAACAGCATATGAAGAAACAAAGGGCAAGTTTCGAGAGACAAGTACAGCATAAATGCTGTTGAAAAATTTGTACAGCGAATCTTTCCCAGAGTACTTTTTGTTCGCGAGCTTTTTTGCTAGTTGCTTCTTTGTCTGGGGATGGTTTATTTTGGGTAATGTTGAATTTTAATTTGTTTTTGACGACTCAACTAAACTCTGGGTCTCCTTAACAAGACCAGCGCCAAATTATTAATTTTACCTGGCCAATTTTCAATGCGGATTGATAAAATTGCGCAATTTCACAGTAGAAAAACAAACCGAATCATTGCAAACAAATCGAACCAAGAATAATGCCAAAACACAGCGGGAACCATGAAAACGACGATCAAAATTCCACTGACGTGAGTTAGGCACTGGTTTGCCGGAAGAACCGCATCCGACAGGGATATTTTGTCAGTCGCATCGTGACCTGGTGCCGTTTTGTCCCTGAATTTCAACATTTCTTAATTAAGGAAAACTTCAGACTGAGGAAATCTACAGGAACATTACCTGAATAGAACTCTGTAGTCGACGCATTGCAACAGAAAGACGGAAAAAACTATCACGAATAGGAACTGGACGAGTTCCAGAAATTCCTGCGCGATCATGCAAGATACCAGTACACTCGGCAGAAAAATGAATCGAGATCGGCTACATGGTTTCATCTGCCTGTGAAGAAAATTTGGAACTTTCAGCCATTCTTGGATGAAAAATTATTTTTTACTAACTTTGCGCGTTCACGTCGGGAACGTCACTAACGATGCCCGGATATTCAGGAGGCTCATCGTTTTCTTCGTGAAGCAATTGATACGTAGCACGGTGCTGCAATCCAACCAACACTGAGTTTTCATCACCATCAGCAGAGCTTCCGATCATCATGCACGACGAACAGTGAGCAACAACCAACGCTGGACTGCGTGAACTTTTATTCTATCCATTGGCAGGGCACTTTCATTCCGCCCTGAGTTCCCAACTTCCAAAACACGGCAGTATTTTCACTTCAACCTGAAGAAAACCACAATTTACGATGATTGAGTAATAAACGGAGTTCATTCATAAAAACACAGCCACTCAGAATGAACAAAATGAAATTAATATCACAAAGAAGACATGAAATATCACAAAGAAAGACATGAGATATCATGAAGAAGACTTGAATTCCAGGAGGTTCTGGACTTTTTCAGGATACATGGGAATCACCATCTTTGAGATAAAAAGCTCCCTCTGGCATCTTACCAGAGAGGCTCATAACATCTGTTCCCTTGTTCAGCATATGAACAAGGGAACAATAAGGATTTGAAGAGTAAAGGGACTTCTTTCAGGAACACAATGTCTATTTCTTCACAACAGTTACACAGATGTCAGGAAGTCAGAGGTTAAGACAAGTGTCTTGGTCAAGAGCTGAAGACGAAGTGATGATCTCGTCTCTCTCTGTCCTTGCCTCCACCAGTGGTCGCTCAGATGAAGAGATAGGACTGGGAGTTTGGGGTGGGAGACATTTACGTCTGGCCTTGCGCCAATAGGGTCTCCTAGATGTTGCTCTGTTTGGTAAGGGTAAGCCCTTACTCTCCCCCCCCCCCCTGGAAAAAGAATTCTCCCCCAAATGAACCCGAGGGTCTGTTCCGCGAGTCAAGCCCTGTGGCCCCACATGGTTGGAGGGGTGAATGTCCGAAAACACAGATAATGCGGATTGGGTACTCGTTGATGGCACACAAGATAAAACGTCAGCAGCAGAGAGAGCATTGTCCGCGGAACACGTATTTTTTGCTCGCGCATAAGAATGATCACTGTTTTCCACAATCGTTGACTGTCCTGTTGTTGGATTGATAAGGCCAAGTTGTTTGTCAAAACCAGGGATGGGTGCTTGGGGAAGGCCGTGGAACGGGACCATTATCTCCCAGGCGTTGACCCTCCTGATCTGCGGACCGGCGCCAACCCAGTATTCTCCGTTGCCCTGGTAACTGATGACTATAAAAGGGCCGAGTTTTTGGACTCGGAAACGTTGATTGGCCGTGTGCCAATCTACAGTGGGTAATCAAGGAAAAACGGCTATGAGATCTCCTGGTGAAAAATGATTCAGTTTGCTCTTGTTTGCTTGATCAATAAATTTCGCCCGCTGTTGTTGCATATGCTCCGGCAGCTGATCGAGATGCAGCTTGAGATTCTGACACTGGACGTTGTATTTTTTGTCAGCATCGAGAACTGTCTGTGTCCGGAACATTGCTTCCGATGGTGTGACCCCTGTCATAGAATGTGGAGTCGCGTTATATGCGCAAACGGAAGCATCCAAATGTTGAGCCCAGGTTGTCTCTTTCTCTTGCACTGCTTTAGATTGAATTTGCCCCAAAGTTTTGATGGCCCGTTCACAGCAGCCATTACCCTTGGGGTGAGTTGCCTGTGCCACATGTTGCCAAATGTGGGCGCCCCAAAGGAAATGTCTGAAGGCCTTACTGCGGAAAACCGAATCTGCATCAGTATGAATAATTTTGAATTTGCCCATTTGTCTACACAACTCTGCTAGAAAAGGAATCACAGTTTCGGTATTAGCTGCACAGATTGGTTTTGCACACAGATATTTACTAAAATGATCCATTGCGACAATGGCGTACTTGAACCCCTCTGGTGACGTCGGGAGAGGCCCATAAAAGTCAACAACCAAGCGTTTGCGTGGACGTGTGCTTTCAATGGGTGACAGCATAGTACCTATGGTCTGTGTTGGATGATTAAAACGAAAACAGGTTGTGCAGTTAATAATACGTTGCCAAATTTGTTGTCGCATTCCTGGCCATTGAAAACAATCTTGAAGTGCCAGGTACACCTTTTTCCACCCAGCGTGTGCCAGTTCAAAGTGGTAAGTGTCGATAATGGTCTCACGTTCATCAGGGTCCTGCGTGGGTTGGACGTCGACAACGTTCAAAGAAATCCGGCTTAGGGCGTCAGGGCCTTGAAGAAAATGGCCTGGTCTATGGACGATTTCCATGTTAAACCCGGCGAGTTTTGTGTATAGAGGCTGACCGCTCGTTCTGTCTGCAAGTCCCCAAGCAGGGCCTTGTGATCTGTATTAACAATGAATTTCCTGTGAAAGAGATGATGCTTAAATTTTTTAGTAACACTCCAAACAACAGCTAAAAGTTCGCGTTTGGTATTAGTATATTTAGTTTTGGTATCTGATAAAACTCGACTCGCGTATTCTATGACACGATCTTGCCATCTTGCCCCCGCTCGTCGGTTTGAACGAGAACTGCGCCAAGACTTACTGCTGATGCATCACAGTGAACTGAGAGAGGAAGGTTAGGATCTATGCGTTCTAACTTGGACGTTTTGGCAAGGCACAATTTAAGATGCTTGAACGCATTGTGTGCCTGATCTGTCCACTGGAGCTTTGTTTTGGACTTCTTGGGAATGATTGATTGCAGGGCTTTTTCGGAGTTGGCAAAATTCATTGGCAGGTGAGCGCGCAGGTATGTCCCCATCCCTAAAAACCGCTGCATCTGCCTGGTTGTGGCTGGCTTGGGATAGTCCCTGACTGCGTCAACATTCCTTTCTGCTGGTCTGCTCCCTGTTTGATCAATGACACGCCCGAGAAAAACGGTTTGCCTGGCTAAAAAGGTAGATTTAGCTATATCGATGGCCGCTCCGGCCTCCTGCAGAGCTTGCAAGACATCCTTCAGATTAGCACACAATATTTCAAATGATTCCCCAAAAACCAACACGTCATCAACATACGCAAGACATTTTTTAAAGAGATGCGGACGCAGAATGGTGTTTATGGTCCGCTGAAACATTGCGGGGCCACTTTTCAGGCCAAAGGGCAATACCTTGTACTGGACTTGCCCGCGTGGCGTCATGAAGGCGGTCTTAGGGCAATCTTCTTGTGCCAGCGGGAGGTGGTGATATGCGTTGTGCAGATGGTGGATGCCCATCTCGCCGGAGCTAATATGTGCTCCACTGAAAAATGAGCCAGTGTGCCCCTGCAGCCCCTCACTCCCCAAGCGCATCACTCTCTCCTT